AAATCATCCCCAAATGGCTCTAAAACATCCCCAACGGTTATATACGACATAAAACACATTCCAAGCTATAAATACAAGCTAATGACACTTGAAGAAGTAAGAGAACAACTATCCAAGCAATCAAACACAAGAGAAGAGTTTTTCAATCTTATTTCATCTTTCTCTTGTAAATATTTTGTTCTTGTGAGCTCAATCTTGTAAACACCTACCTTAGAGAGGTTTTCTTGTTTACTTATTTTATCCTTTTGTAAAGGGAAAATGTTCTAGCTTATCCCGTATAAAAGCTAGGGAAAGGTTCTAGTTTAGACCGGGAAAACTAGGGAGTTGTAAGGTTATCTCTTTGTCCTCAAAAGAAAGAACAAATTAGTGAATTTGTTGGAAAATCCTTGGTGAGGAGCTAAGGTAGTAGATGTAGACTTTGGTTTAGAAAGTCGAACCACTCTAAATCGATGTACAATTTTCTATCTTTCAAACTCCTTACTCCCTAAACTCAAAAACTGTTCCGACCCCTCTTTGCAAACCGTTCCGGTTGTCGAATCGATCTTCCGAAAATCCCAACAGAGTTAACCTAAGGGAATATCTTAGGGCGTGAGAGCATAACCAAGAAGTTTTAGGGCCACGAGGCCTACCTAAGAACATATTTTAGGGCCACAAGGCCTACCCGAGAATGATCTCAGGGCTGCATAGCCTACCTAAAAGTCACATTAGGTCCATAAAAATTTTTCAGCTAGATCAGAGCTGTACTTTATAAATCAGTATCTCAAAAATACAATTGCACCATGACATAATTTCCATAAATCCATAATCATTGTAATCATATACCAATATGTAAACCAATAATCAGATAGCAGTCATAATACATAAACCATAACCATTAAATCGGTACATCAATAAAACATTAACCATAGATTTTAGTGTACCACATGTTAAAACAAATAAAACAATTAAGTAATATATAGGGAACACACTAGAGAATCCAAGTATTTTTAAAAAGCATTTCGTAGTTATCAGTATGAATACATGAAACTTGTGCAATTTGATCGAATTCCAGGAACAAGGTCCTATTGAAGAGAATCGATTACTAACCGATCTAATCAGACACTTAAGGTTGATACTTTAGAATCCCACTATGTTTTCATGTGCACCAGGAAAGTGTTTAGGAATGATCAGAGTGATTTGAGCTAATAAAGGAGAAACGAAGATTCAAGACATTTGCAATCCATGTTGATCGATCGGTCTATCGAACAATTCAAACTGAACAACTCTCAGAACTAATGTATGTCGACCCGTCAATTTGTTGCATTTCCAGGGTATTCAGTTTTTAATACTAAAAATTCTTGTCCATAAATCATCTTCGTAATCATTGCTGAATAGATCTTCCTACGGTCTTTATTTCATTTCCACGTTTCAACGATATCAGGAAATACAAACGTACTTGATTCATGGTTCATGACCCATAAGGACAATTCATCATGTAAGTTCAACAGTGTTTCCAGACTCATCCAATCACTTATTTAATCCTCAGTCATTGAGGTAACTTAGTTCATTTAGAAATCATGTATATCCCGGTTACTTCAGAGTTTTCCCAGAGTAATTCAGATGTTTCTAAATTTCAGATACATATTGTACTTCCTTTCAGTTTAATTTAGTCATATAATAAAGCCATTCTGGTATTCGTGGTTGATTTGTTTCACAAATATCCACTTCTTAGTACCGAATGTGCTCTAGAGTTTAGCTGAGCTAAGTACTTCCAGAATTATCATCGATCCAAACTTGAGAAGACGAACACATATTCAAGTGATTCTATGCCATTCAGGTATTGACATAGCATTAGGGTTGATCTACTAACTTAAATTGTGTTCCATTACTTTTAAGGGGTAGTACAACACCTATGTTTATTTGAATTCCTTAATTAATCCAAGACATTTGACCCATCCTGGGTGTTAATTTTGTAAATATGTTTAAAAGAGTGCTATTTTTGTAAACATTTTTGAAAGGGTGTTATTTTTTTAAATATTTTTAAAAAGGTACTATTTTTATAAATATTTTTAAAAGGGTGCCTATACATAATTAATTTCTCTTAGGTGCTATTTTTTGTAAAAGTTGACTGTTGATTGTGAGCACCGTTGACTAGAACTTTGACCGGTGTTGACTGGCTAGTAAACGACCGTTGACTTTTTCTAGGTATACCTATTTTGATATTTTTTGACGTCCCAAATTTGTTTCTGAAGTCCGTTTTGCCAAATTCGAACCCAAAGGCCTCCAAATCGTCAGTCAAACTCGTTGACTTTAACTTTGACCAAAAATTCAAATTTTCGAAAAGTCATATTTTATGTTTTTTAACGTCCTGATTTCGATTTCGTAATCCGTTTGGTCAAATTCAGACTCGAAAGCCTCCAAATTGATAGTCAACCCCAAAAAATGTATATGTACTTAAGAGTTTTAGCTTTGAATGATTAAGTAAGACTTGAGACTAATAAATTATTAATGTTTGAAGGTACAAGAGACTCTCCTGATCGCTCAACAGCTAGACCCAGCTCCTCTAGATCAGTTAAACCGCGTGTGCCAGTATTCACTCGTATGACCCGTAAATCTTATGATTTCATAGATTAATTATGTTACCCATTAGTAATATAGTGTTATTATGATTTAGGTTCGAAAACTGTAGTAGAGCGTGGCGAGGCCAGTACTCACTAGATCTATTGTTTGAACCTATTATCGAGGTGTGTTCCCTATTTATTATTGAACTGTTTTATTTGTTTTAACATGTGGTACACTGAATTCTATGGTTACTGTTTTATTGATGCATTGATTTATTGTGATGGTTTATGGATTATGACTGCTATCTGATTTTTGGGTTGAACTGGTATATGATTACCATATTTATGGATTTATGGAATTTATATCACGGTGCAAATTGTATTTGTTTTTAGATATGAATTTATAAAGTACAACTCTGATCAAGCTGGAAAGTTTTACGGACCTAATGTGACTCTTAGGTAGGCTCTGCGGCCATGAGATCATTCTCGGGTAGGCCCTGCGGCCCTAAGATGTGTTCTTAGGTAGGCCTCGTGGCCCCGAAATCTATCTTGGGTAGGCTTTCAGGCCCTAAGATGTTCCCTTAGGGTAACTCTTTTATGGGATTTACTGCAATATGATTTTATGAGATTTACTAGACTATGACTTGTTTAGTGTACCTATCATAATTTTATAGTAATGTTGGAACACACTGAGACTATCTCACTTTTTCATAAATGTTTTCCGCTTTCAGATACTATTGGTTAGGTACCCCTGATCGAGCACTTGGAGGATCAACATATCTCTTGAAGTATATCTGATTGTAATGTTTTTATCTTTCAAGTTGACTCTATTTTGGTAACATGGGCCTTATTTTAAAGTATTGGATTTTATAATGAATACTCTTTTGCTATTTATATTCGGTTTATCGTAATTTGGATTTTTTTAAGACATGTTTTAAATTAATTTGTTACTTTTTAATTTTATATTTATGAGTTGGGTTTTTATAGTATAATTTATTATAATTTCATAAATGTTATTTATAATGTGATTTTACATTGATTGAATAACAGTTTCGGAAAATGTCTTTAAGAATCATGAATGTGATCCACTAGACTTAGTTGAAACGTATAGGCTGGGTCTAGGTGATGACATTTAATTGGTATCAGAGCTTTTGGTTTTTAAACCTCGGACTGTGTATGAGTTCAAATTGAAAATACGGTTTTGAAATATTTTACAAAATAAGTTACTAAGGCCATGTCACTAAGATTTTACGATTTAACTGTGTTCGAGACTCCAGGTGCTTATCTAACTCTAAGTTTTATCTTCTGTAGTAAACTCGAGATCCAACAAAATGAGTACTAGAAGTGGACATCGAACTAGCCGTGGACGAGGTCGAGTGGCTAGATTTGCAGACCCGTTCGATGAGATTCGAGTAGATCCCCCACCTCCGATAGGTGATCATGCTCCTACGACCCCGACGAATTTGCCTCCTACTGCTGGTATTGGCATGACTACATCGATCATAGGAGCTACCGATATTGAGACTGATTCTACCAGAGTTGCACTTGATGAGAATTTTGGTAGACAATTTATGCAGTTGATACAAGGAATGGTCAGAGCTGTTGGTGTTGTATCCGATGTGCCTATTTCCCAGACTCTTATTACCAATGGAGTTAGAACTTTTAGGGGACAGATTGGTGGAGTTCCTACTGAAGAAGAAGATTGGCTCAAGGATATTGAAAGATGCATGGATCAGTTAGGTTTGGACCCAACTAAGAGATATTTGGGTGCAGTAGCAATGTTAGATGGCAATACACACACTTGGTGGGAGTCAATGGTCAGTAGTGTTTCGACCGATTGTTTGACGTGGGATTTCTTTAAGGAGTGCTTTAGGAGCCGTTTCCTGGGAGAACATTATTTAGTTCAGAGATGACAGCAGTTTTAGGACCTGGTTCAGGGTGACATGATTGTTTCAGAGTATGAGATAGAGTTCTTGAAATTGCTAAAGCATGGAATCAGTCTGGTGTCTACCGAGAGAGATCTATGCCGTAAATTTTCCCTCGAACTCAGAAACGAGCTACGTAGGCAGGTTCTTACCCACCAAGATGAGATTTTTGATGTGCTGGTGGGCAGAGCTAAGGATGTTGAGGAGATGGAGGCCTTAGCTTCTGGTAGAGAGTGTGTTGATCAAGAACGATCTAAGAAATCTTTTGGCCCTACTGAATCATCTGCACAGTTCGGTAACAAGACTCGTACTTCGGCCCCTCAGAGGAGCAATACACACTTCAGGCCTGCAGCATCTTCACCTTCAGCTATTAGTAGAGCTGGTTCTTCGGTTCCGTTTCAAGTGCCTCCTTGTGACTTTTGTGGTAAACGACATACATGAGAGTTTTATAAGAAGACCGGAGCATGTTTTCATTGTGGATCTAGTGGTAATTTTCGGAGGGATTGTCCTCAGCTATATTCGTCTAAGCAGACCGCTACACAGACTCTTGTGCGTTCTCATACTACAGTATAGACCCCAATTAGAGATCATAGTCAATGAAAGGCTCGACGATCAGCGTCCAGAACAGACAATAGAGCCCGACCTCAGCAGAATAGAGGGCCAAGAGTTTCTGAGGCTAGACAGCCAGCATTGGTTTACGCCACTAGACGTCGGGATGACAAAGATGAGCCTGAGGTTATTGCAGGTACATTTACTATTTATTTTATCCCATACTTTGGATTATTGGACAATGGCTCCACCCACTCCTACGTATCGAGTTTAGTATCTCGAAACCTTCAGATTCTGATTGAGAACACTGATAATACTGTTACGGTTACGAGACCAGTATGATATGCAGTATTAGTGAATAAAGTATTTCGGCGTTGTCCTTTGGAGGTTCAGGTAGAAATTTTTCTCGCTGATCTTATGGAGCTTCCTTTAGAAGAGTTCGATCTAATTCTTGGGATGGATTTGTTGAATAAACACAAGATAAACTCTGAAGACTTCAGATGGTCGGACTGTTGTGTTAATTGGTGAATGACATGGTTATCTCTCCAATATAGTTTCAGCTATGGAAATTGATCGTATGATAAGGAATGGATATGAGACTTTTATTACCTGTATTTTGATCACTAAAGGTTCTTTGTCCACGATTGAGGAGATTCGTACAGTTAGCGAGTTTCTTGATGTCCTTCCGGAAGAGTTGCCTGGGTTACCTCCTGATAGAGAGGTAGAGTTCCAGATTGAGACTTATCCAGGATCTGCACCTATTTCTTTGGCACCTTATCGTATGGCACCAAAGGAACTTTAGTAGTTGAAGGTCCAATTGCAAGAATTATTCGATCGAGGATTTATTCGGCATAGTACCTCACCCTGGGGAGCTCCAGTTCTGTTCGTGAAAAAGAAGGATGGGTCGCTAAGGCTATATATTGACTATCAGAAGTTGAACAGGATGACGATCAAGCATAAGTACCCACTACCGACGATTGATGACTTATTTAATCAATTGCGATGAGCTACAGTATTCTCTAAGATTGATCTTTGTTCGGGGTATTATTAATTGAAAGTTAAAGGGTCCGATGATGCAAAAACGGCCATTCGCACTAGATATGGTCATTAAGAATTCTTAGTAATGCCTTTTGCGTTGACGAACGCTCCCGCATCTTTCGTGGATTTGATGAATCGTGTGTTCTGGCCATATTTGGATCAATTTGTGATTGTCTTTATTGATGATATTCTAGTCTATTCTCGGACGGGAGCAAAGCATGACGAGTATTTGAAGATCATTCTGCGAACCTTGAGAGAGCATCGTCTATATGCCAAATTAAGCAAGTGTGAGTTTTGGCTTCAAGAAGTGTCGTTTTTGGGGCATATTATTTATGCGTGAGGTATTCAGGTTGATCCAAGCAAGATCGAAGCTATTGTGAATTGGAAACGTCCTAAGAACGTCTCTGAGATCTGTAATTTCTTGGGATTAGCTGGATATTATCGACCTTTTGTGGAGGGCTTCTCGATCATTGATGCTCCTTTAACAAAGCTGTTAAGAAAGAACATGTCGTTTAACTGGGGCGAGGAATAACAGGAGAGCTTTGAGAAATTAAAGGTGGTTTTGACTCAAGCACCAGTGTTGATTCAACCAGAGTCCGAGAAGGATTTTACAGTGTATAGTGATGCTTCACACTCAGGACTTGGTTGTGTTCTAATGCAGGAGGGTAAAATAGTGGCTTACGCGTCCCGTCAACTGCGACCGCATGAGTGTAATTATCCAACCCATGATTTGGAATTACCAGCAGTGATTTGTGCCTTGAAGATTTGGAGATAATATCTTTATGGAGAGAAGTGTTACATTTTCACTGATCATAAGAGCTTAAAGTATCTTCTGGCCCAGAATGAGCTTAATTTGAGACAACGACGCTGGCTAGAGCTTCTAAAGGATTATGATTGCGTGATTGATTATCACCCTGGTAAAGCTAACATTGTAGCAGATTCTTTGAGTCGAAATGTGGTATCGGAGTTGAGGTGTTTAATGGTCAGGATGAATTTATATGACGATGGCACTTTGTTAGTAGAATTACAAGTTAAGCCGACTTTGGTTGATGAAATTAAAGCTAAGCAGCCCCTTGATAGCTCCTTGCTATCCATCTTTGAGCAAGTAGAGCAGGGGGCAAGCTCAGATTACGCCCTTGATCAGAATGAAGTTTTATTCTTTAAGGGTCGATAATGTGTGTCTGATGATGCTGAGTTAAGGCAGATTATTCTTAATGAGGCTCACAGTAGTCCATATACTATGTACCCCGGTGGAGATAAGATGTACCGAAATTTGAGAGAGAGGTATCATTGGGTCGGCATGAAGAATGACATCTCGAATTTTGTGGCTAATTGTTTGACTTGTCAACAAGTTAAGGCAAAACATCAACATCAATCAGGTTTGTTACAGCCTATCAAGATTCCTGAATGGAAATGGGAGCGTATTACTATGGATTTTGTTATTGGCTTACCTATGACTCCTTCGAAAAAAGATTCAGTTTGGGTGATTATTGATAGACTTACAAGTCAGCTCACTTCATTCCTGTACGGGTAAATTATACTTTGGACAAGCTGGCGAGATTGTATATTTTGGAGATTGTCAAATTGCATGGTGTTCCATTGTCTATTATTTCTGATTGAGATCCTAGATTTACTTCGAGAAATTAGAAGGTGCTACGTACGGCTTTGGGTATGAGATTTGATTATAGTACATCATTCCACCCACAAACTGATGGTCAATCTGAGAGAGTGATTCAGATTTTGGAGGATATGTTGCGGGGTTGCGTAATTGATTTACGTGGTAGCTGGGAGAACTTTTTGTCGTTGGCTGAATTTGCTTATAATAACAGTTACTAGACCAGCATTCGTATGGCACCCTACGAAGCACTCTATGGGGATAGATGTCGTACTCCGATCTGTTGGACTAAGTTGCGTGATCGGAAGACTTTGGGACCTGAGTTCGTGAGCGAGACGAAGGACACAGTCAAACTGATTCGTGACCGTCTGAAAGAGGAATTTGATAGACAAAAGTCTTATGCATATCAAAGGAGGAAAGATATTCAATTTGAGGTTGGAGATCAAGTCTTTTTATAGGTATCCCCATGGAAGAAAGTACTGAGATTTGGGCGTAAGGGTAAATTAAGTCCAAGATTTATTGGATCATTTCGTATCATGAAGAGGGTAGGACCTGTTGCATATCAGCTTGAGTTGCCTCCCCAACTCAGTCGTATTCATGATGTCTTTCATGTATCAATGTTGAGGCGATACCGTCCAGATCCAGGTTACATCATTCAGGTTGAGGAGGTAGAGCTGAGACCTGATTTGTCATATGAGGAAAAACCCATTCAGATCTTAGAAAGATATGAGCGAGTTCTTCGAAATAGGCGTATCCCAATGGTCAAAGTTCAATGGAGTAACCGAGACCCCTCTGAAGCTACTTGGGAGACATTGGAGTCAATGGAGGCTCAGTTTCCTCAACTATTTTTATAAGGTAAATTTCGAGGACGAATTTTCTTGTAAAGGGGGAGAATTGTAACAACCCAGAAAAAATATTTATATTGGTGAAATTTGGTGACTAAATTAAAAAATTCAAAACTTGTAGGTTATTTTAAAAGTTGAAGGAAATTCAGGGACCAAGCCCTAAATTCCTCCAAGAAATATCGGTAAGTTTGGTTATAAACGTGTTTTCTGATTGAAATCAGAAAACACAAAAGCATTTTCTTAAACTTTCCCTCCTCTCGCACCTCTACTTTCAAGCCTGATTCTGACGCCTTCCGACCTCCGATCGTCAAATTAAAACCACCATCATGTTCGTATTCGATCCGTGAACAAAACCCATTAAATCAATTGTAGCGAAACATTATCAAACATCGTGAATTTCGGTTTAAAGTCTCGACATTTTTTTAACACCACCGCCGGGAAAATCTTAAATTCATCACCGATCATTGCTCAGTTTCCGACACCTCCCGCACCATCGTGTTCCTTGTGCCATTCCGAGTTCGCCGGTGTCCTCCTTGTCTCTGTTGGCGGCGACTCGTGAGGGAGATGAAGCGATCAAATTTTTGGATTTATTGAAATCGAGTTCTCCACCATTCAAAAATTTGAACCGAGCTTGGTAAGTGTATTGAAATTGCTTAAAAGAATTTTAGGAATTTTTTTCAGGAAGTTTTGGAGACCGGAGGAGGCCTCATGCGCCCCCACGCGCCGCCCTTGTCCATGAGGGAGCTGCGAAATGAAGGTTGGGCCTTGTTTGACCGGCTTGACCAATTTAAACCGGTCTGAACCAGTCTGACCGGTCCGAACCTGTTTGACCCGACCCGACCCGTTGGCCCGACCCGGGTGCTAGTTTTGTAAATATTTTTTAAAAGGGTGCTATTTTTGTAAACATTTTTAAAAGGGTGCTATTTTTGTAAATATTTTTAAAAGGGTGTTATTTTTGTAAATATTTTTAAAAGGGTGCATAATACGTAATTAATTTCTATTAGGTGCTATTTTTGTACATATTTTTAAAAGGGTGCCTAATACGTAATTAATTTTTGTTAGGGTGTTATTTTTGTAAAAGTTAACTGTTGATTGTGAGCATCGTTGACCAGAACTTTGACCGGCGTTGATCGGCTATTAAACGACTGTTGACTTTTTTCGGGAATACTTATTTTGACTTTTTTTGACGTCTTGAATTCGTTTCTGAAACCTGTTTCGCCAAATTCGAACCCGAAGGCCTCCAAATCGTTAGTCAAATCAGTTGACTTTGACTTTGACCAAAAAATCAAATTTTCAAAAAGTCATATTTTATGTTTTTCGACGTCCTGATTCCGATTCCGCAATCTGTTTGGTCAAATTCAGACTCGAAAGCCTCCAAATTGATAGTCAAACGCAAAAAATGAATATGTACTTAAGAGTTTTAGCTTTGAATGATTAAGTAAGACTTGGGACTGATAAATTATTAATGGTTGAAGGAACAAGAGACTCTCATGATCACTCGACAACTAGACCCAGCTCCTCTAGATCAGTTAAACCGCGTGTGACAATATTCACTCGTATGACCCGTAAATCTTATGATTTCATAGATTAATTATGTTACCCACTAGTAATATAGTGTTATCATGATTTAAGTTCAAAAACTGTAGCAGAGCGTGGCGACGCCAGTACTCACTAGATCTACTGTTTGAACCTATTATCGAGGTGTGTTCCATATTTATTACTGAACTGTTTTATTTGTTTTAACATGTGGTACACTGAATTCTATGGTTACTGTTTTATTAATGCACCGATTTATTATGATGTTTATGGATTATGACTGCTATCTGATTTTTGGGTTGAACTGGTATATGATTACCATATTTATGGATTTATAGAATTTATGTCATAGTGCAAATTGTATTTTTTTAGATATGAATTTATAAAGTACACTTCTGATCAAGCTAGAAAGTTTTACGGACCTAATGTGACTCTTTGGTAGGCTCTGCGGCCCTGAGATCATTCTCGGGTAGGCCCTGCAGCCCTAAGATGTGTTCTTAGGTAGGCCTTGTGGCCCCGAAATCTATCTTGGGTAGGCTTTCAGGCCTTAAGATGTTCCCTTAGGGTAACTCTTTTATGGGATTTACTGCAGTATGATTGTATGAGATTTACTGGACTATGACTTGTTTAGTGTACCTATCATAATTTTATAGTAATGTTAGGACACACTGAGCCTAGCTCACTTTTTCATAAATGTTTTCCCCTTTTAGATACGGTTGGTTAGATACCCCTGATCGAGCACTTGGAGGATCAACATATCTCTTGAAGTATATATAATTGTAATGTTTTTATCTTTCAAGTTGACTCTATTTTGGTAACATGGGCCTTATTTTAAAGTATTGGATTTTATAATGATTACTTTTTTGCTATTTATATTCGGTTTATCGTAATTTGGATTTTTTAAGACATGTTTTAATTTAATTTGTTACTTTTTAATTTTATATTTATGAGTTGGGTTTTTATAGTATAATTTATTATAATTTCATAAATGTCATTTATAATGTGATTTTACATTGATTGAATAACGATTTCGGAAAATGTCTTTAAGAATCATGAATGTGATCCACTAGACTTAGTCGAAACACATAGGTTGAGTCTAGGGGGTTACAATTATAATTTAGAGATTATAGGTTTAATCACGTCCCCAGATAATCTCTAAACTTTAAATTATCCCTTATCAAACTTCTAGTATCTTGTACAAGCCATCTTGGGTTTAGAAATTGGTTATCCAAATTTCCTAAGCAAAACTAGTATTTTCTATACACATCAGTAGTTTCATCATATCAATATGTCTTTACAAACTTCTTATCCAACTTCCATGGTCAATTATTGCCTTTTTACAATATAAGGGTATTTTCGTAATTTTACCTAATCGAAGTATTCTCATAATTTATCATCCAAGTACCTTTAATGGGATAAATTATAATTTACATATCCATGGCTAATTCCTTTATCACTTAATCCGAGAACTTGTAATTTAATTCCAATTGTCCTCTAATTTCTTATATTAGTCATCTGAGCCATATTCAGTTATCTACTTTTTACCGCATTCGTTTCAAGTGTAGGAATTAATTCATTATCCAAATAAAACCAAACATTTTCATTCATGCATTTACCAATACCAACATGTTCCATAAAGCATAAAAAGGTATTAAAGTATTACCTCAATTTATGTGCTATATTGATTGACAATTTAAACTTCATTCGAAAGCCATCGATCTTGAAATCAATTTTCAATATTTTCCTCACAATTCAAGCCATCAAAATTACTAACTCGTATACAAATAATTTTCCTCGCCATAAAGAGAGCTTATTAGAATTAAATAATAATTTGGAAACTCAATTTGCATAACTAAAAACTTGAAGACCAATAGTATTTAATTACTAACATCATGAACTAAATTGATCTTATTTAAACCATTATGCCATAATCATAATAATACGGAAGCTAAAAGACAAGGTTATGTTTTTACCAAACTTGGATGACTAACCTAGTAGTTTTGCCCTTCTCATTTTATCACAATTTCCCAATTCCACGTGTTGGACCATTTCTTATTTCTTTGCTTGGGTTGTTTCTATTTTGCTTGGTTGCATGTCACCATGGTTGAGAAGTTTTGAAATAAAACACTACGGAACTATAGATTGAGCTTCTTACTCTGTCTTCATCATTTTCCACCTTGTCTCTGAGTCTCATTTCAAGCATTTCTCTCCCCATCCAATCAACAGAACTAGACGAGCTTTTGAAACCATTAACAGACCTGGAACTACCCACTCCTCCAATTCCTAGGCTTGCAGATGCCATAATTCAGCCAGGTAAACTTTGTAGAAACTAGTATTGGCTATCCACTAAACACTCCATAGTGCAGCTGCTCATCCCATCCAAGCACCTATCTTCATTTCTCAAAGAACTTAAAGAGGTCAACCTATAGTTGAGGTTCTTTAGAACCTGGAACTTCCACTTGATGAAACCATCGAAGTTGCTTAGCGATTTCAGAAGCCAGCTTTGGCTTTCTCATGTCTGATGGAGTTAAGGTACATGCATGTATAAAAGATTGTACCATCCCATTTCCAAATAAATCAAGCAACTTGGCACCAAATCCTGCAACCGAGAGGTATTTGATTGCCTGCAAGTCACGTTTCCGATTGATGACATAATCTGTTTTAGGTCCATAAAATCTAACTATTATAGAGACATTTTCTTCCTTCACAGAAACCTTCAGCAAGAGATTCGTGATGCCGCCTAATACAGTTTCGACGGAGAAGCAGGACTCGTTCAACTCAGTCCATTTCGGAAACAAATCCTTGCACAACACGATGACGTGAGTGGCCATGAGGGGAAAGGAAAGAGCGATTGAGAGCAAGAGAGCATTGGAGTTTTTTTCTTTTTATTTCTTCCTTCGCCCTCTTGCCATTTTTTTCTCTGTACAGGAAGAAGATATCGAGAAGGCAAGGAGTAGTTGATAGATTTCCCTCTCTTGTGGTCTCCATTTTTCATATTATAAAATTAATAATAATAAACAAATTCACATCACTCTTTGCTTGGATTCATTTGTTCCTTTATTAATGGGTTGGTTTCTTTCTCGTTTTTCCTCTTCTACGTGTCTCTTTTTCCCTTATATAATTAACACAACAAAGCTACACGTATATGATACAAAGTCTTCAACTTCATTTGGTTGCTTTCTTTGTCAGACTCCAAAACTTTTGTCTTCATGTTTAAGTTTGTATAATAATTTTCTTCGGAATGTCATTATCCTTATTTTATTCTTATTTCACCCAACAATTGTCCACATTCTACCTAATTCATTATCCTCCATTGTTTAATAAAATAATAGTCTAATAAAACAATTATTTTCCAATCAACTTCATAGTTAATCTAGAAGAAACATAACCCTAAATGGTGGTGTTACAATAATATAGTAGAAGTATCGAATATATAACATTAAATCACAAAATTTAAAATTTTAAAATTAATTTTTTTGTCAAATTAAATTTTATATTCGGATTCGGATATCCGATTTTTTCGGATCGGATACATATCACTATTTTAGATATTCGAAATTTTCGGATGGAAACGGATCGTGATGAGTCAAGTTGTGACATATATTGAATTTGGTGATACTTTAAGAGAAAACCTCATTAATTATTATTAGCTTAATTTATTCATTTACATTTTTAATCAATCAAATAAATATCTTTACATTCATTACTGAGTTAATTAATCTGGATAGCTTGGAAACATTGAGAATGCTGGGAGGAGAGGGGGAGGGGGGGTTGCAGCGTCCGGAGGAAGCAAAAAAAAAAAAAAAGCTTCTATAAGCAGAAGGCTGAGATGAAATGGATAAATGAGAGGCTACGATTTGGTGAACTGGAACAAAGCGTGCATTCCAAAGATATTTAATACTTTTAAGAATGAATAAAAGTATTTAACACAGAGGTAGATGAATTTTCTGACTTCTTAACTAACCATTTCATAACAATTTTATTTAAATTTGTGTACCTCTTAGTTAAATCTCTAGTTTGGCTCCGGGATCTACCGATTCAGCCTCCTTGGATCCGCCAGATTTCAAATTAGCTGTCCCTCGCTAGATTTTGCAAATCTATGAAATCAAATATTCATCAGCACCAAACCTAAAGATCTAGCATGCGGTGCCTTATTTTATCTTGAAAGCAAAGGGACTTAAGGGAGAAGAAAGAGCAGATTCCTATCTCCAAACTTACCTTAACCACAAGATTGAATGGAATTTGAACTGAAGCAGTGTGAGCATGTTTTCTCTTCTTCGTCTTTGGTCAACAGAAGAATAAGATGAAAGTAAACCGCAACTGAAAAAGGATTTGCGCTTACCATTGGGTTTCTTAAGCAAATTAACGCAGAGAAGTTGAATATAAGAATGGCAGGAGATTATGACGAGAGTGTGAGTGAGACTCTTAATACTTCAAATAATGTAATACTAAATTCATAATTTATTTTTCTAAGCAACTCAAGCGGCAATACTTTAATGGCTTAATACAAAAAAAAATGTCTAAACTATACTCTTTTTCTTAAAGTGTTGCTTAAACATTTTTTTACTTCATTTATGTGTCTAATATTACAAACATTACTATTTTAGGTACTCCGAAGATAACGGCCGCTAGAAACTCTGTCAAGTTACACGTGTCATGTTCTGATAATTTTGAAAAGTTATTTTTTAAAACAATTGAAAATATTATTTTATTTTAAAAATCCCATTTTTTCTAAAATTACAAAAATATCTCAAATTTTTTTCTAAACCCTAACCTTACCTCTCTTGTCGAACACGGTCGTTGACGTCGATGTTGTCCTTGACATCACCCTATTCATTCCTCATCAATCTTACCGTCGATATGACTGTCATAGTCATTGTTTGTTGTGATTTAGGGATTGTTGGGATAATTGTTTGTGATTTAGGGTGTCACAATTTTAGGGTTCATTGGCTAATGTTACGGTGGCTAGTCATTGGGTAACTGATTGTCGGTGGAGGTTCAATCGACAATAACAACAACAATAATGACAATTGGTGTGAATTTAGGGATTGAATTAAGATTTTTTAAAAGTTGTAGGTTTTTTAGATTTAAGATAATTTTAGGGGGTTTTAAAAAAAATTTAAGTTTTTTTATTTAAAATAAAAGTTTTAAAATTCTATAAAGGTCATTACAAATGGAACATCTAAAGTGATAAATTTTGTAATGTTGGATACCTAGATAGATAAAAAAAAATATTTAAACACCACTTTAATAAAAATGTATAGTTTGAAGACTTATTTTCTAATTAAACACACTTTAGTTGATTTGAATTCACATAACTTTTTTTAAAAACAAATTAAAGAAGTACGAACGTATTTCATTGCAAATTGCAAAAAGAAATATAAAATATAAAATTTCATTATATCATATTATTTATTTAATTATAATATGAAACTTATTTCGGTCAAATTAGGCAAATAATCCACCCAGATGGATTATTTGGCCCAATAAGGCACCCAAACATTTAATTTGAGATCTACGACATTTGCAACAGTACATATGGAACTCGTCATGCTATAATGTTTTATTGAGTTGTGTCAGGTGGGCCTCACAGCTAGAATGAATCTAATATATCTTGAGGAACTCGTCACTTCGGCTTGATGAGTCCCATTAAAAAAATATTTTTTTATTTCAATATTTTTAAAAGAAAATAAAAAATATATTTTAATGGCCATGGAACTCGTCACGCTGGTGTGACGAGTTCCAACGGGTATAATTTTGTAACATCCCAAAAACTGGGTTAGTAACTAAAACGGTAGTTTTGAAATTTTGTAATAAATTTTGGAAAAATTTAAAAGTTCGGGGACTTAGTTGGAGTATGTTGGTGTTGGATTTAGTAGCAAAGTTTGGAAATTCAAAGGGCATAATAATCATTTAGCAAGGAAATGAATTTAAAATTTAATTGTGATGTATTATATATACACGTGGTAATAAGGAAAGAATATCCAGAGTATTCTTCATCCTTTTTCTTCCTCTCAACGTGAGTTCCATAGCTAAGGTAAGATTCTTTTCTAGTTGGTTATTTCATTCAATTTAAGAATGGTTTTGATTCGTGAAGTGTTAGGAAAGCTTAAGGTTGCTTTAAACTCAAGCATGGATAAGTTATGAAAGATTTAATATAAAGGGTTTTTGAGTGAATTGTTCAGAAAGAGTTTGTAAGTGAATTTTGAGGTTAAATTTGACTTGTCATGAGCTGAAATAAGAAATTTAAAGTGTTAAAAAGATATTTAGAACATCAGATTTTTAGTTTCAAGTGTTATAATAAGATATTGATGTTTAGATGTGTTAAAGTGATATAAGATGGTTTGAGTGAGTATAGTTGAGTTTGAAGTAATAATAGAAGTTCAAGGTATGGAGTTTATATAAGTTTTAGTAAAATTTCGGGTTTACGGAGTGTATTCTGGGCGTGGGGTATCGGTACAGGATGAACAGTACCGATACTTCAAGGCAAAATATGTGAAAATTTGGTCTGGGTATCGATACTGGATGAACAGTATCAATACCATAAGGTAAAAGTGGATTAAATCTTCAAGAAGTATCGATACCTAAGGATATAGTATCGATACTAGGGGTATCGTTACCAAGGGTCTAGTATCGATACCATTAGCAAGTTAAAATTCCAGAATGTCAAAATGGTATCGATACCAAAGGGGGAGTATCGATACCATAGAATAGTAATATCAGTACTGTATTGGGAGTACCGATACTATTGAGCCTGAAATGCTAAATTAAGAGTTTCTTTCAACTTAAGTTATATTAATTGGTTATAAGTGATTTAAACTCCGATCTTTATATTCGATTATTCTTGTGTAGACATTGAACGAAGTCAATTTCTGGACGAGTCAGCGACATAAGAGTTATAAGTGTTGCTTTGACTAGTGAGACCAAGGTGAGTGCATGCTATTAGACATATAGTGTTTTGTGGAAATAAGACTTACGATGAGTCTATTTCAAATGATTGATTTCATGATTTCTTGAATTCCAGTGTATTAGTGATATGATGACTTTGTGTACATGAATATATGCATATGTCTATATGTTAAGTGCATTGTTATACATGAGCAATAGGAACATGTGATATAAGCTATGTGAATATGAGCTATATGAATATATGTATGAGTGGAAACCTATTTAAATTGATATAAATGATGTATGTGATTAAATGGAAAAGTGAGATAAACTAAATAACATTGATTTATGTGACTACATGAGAAATGATATAAGTTATTTGACTACAAGCTATGTGATTACATGTATATATGATATAAGTTATGAGACATGATATATGTGATTGCTTGACTATGTGAAATAAGAGAATAAATGATATAAATGGTAAAGCCCATAGTATGTGCTATGAGAGCTAGGGGTATAATTGGCATGCCAAGAGTCGAGGGTTTTACGCAGTCCTTTGGGACATTTCTATGCGGTCCTTCGAGACATATTATATGGCGCTCAGTGTAAATTATACGAGCTGTGGTGACAACATTTGTGCACAACCTCAATGCACTCACATACCTTAAGTTCTCATAAGTGTACATGGGCTATTGAAAGAGATATTATAAATAAAGTGTATGTGATGTTATGTGTGTTGCTTTGTGAACAGTATTATATGAGGTGTATAAATGTTAAGTATAAGATTATATGATAAAATGGATTAATTATAATAAAATATAATAATGATAGGAATGCTAACTATGATAATGATGATATATGTGCATGTATGTCTTTGTTATATGAAAGGTTATATGATTTTGCATGATATTATTATATGAAATGTTTTGTATTGTTGTAT